TATATATATATATATATATATATATATATATATATATATATATATATAGTTTTACTCGTTCTTATTATTTTTGTCAAATTCCTTTTAGTGGTTATATGTCACCCGAATACATGATGAACGGGAATTTCTCAAGAAAATCAGATGTTTTTAGTTTTGGGGTTTTGATTCTCGAGATAGTGAGCGGTAAAAGGAACAGAGGATCATCCAACACAGATAGCCAACTTAACCTTCTTGCACAAGTAAGTAATATTAGTGATATACTGACAACTTCTAAACTGATCTTTGATATTATACTTTATATTTCTAAAACCATACCCCATAAACTTAAAGTTAATTCCAGTTGGGTCCTTGTCTCTTTAAATTATTGTATTTGAAATGAAACCAATATTTTTTAGGCATGGAATTTATGGAACGAGGGGAAAGCTTTAGAACTATTAGACGAATCGATTGGAACCAAATTTTCAGAAAATGAAGTGTTGAGGTGCATACAAATTGGACTCTTATGTGTTCAAGAACTACCGAAAGATCGACCTAAGATGTCAGAAGTAATGTTGCTATTGAGCAGTGAAACTGTAGGAATGTCACCACCAAAACATCCCGGATTCTTCTTTAGGAATGAAAATCTTGAACCAGAAACTTCAAGCAAAAAAGATGATTCCATGACAGTAAATCAAATAACACTAACAGTAATAGAAGGTAGATAGCGAAACTAGGTTAGTCACCATCTAGCATCAATTTGAGATTGTCATACTTTACACATTACAATACATCAAGTGTAATTTGTTGGATTTGATTTTGTATATTATTATACGAAGTTTTATTAGTGTAAGACATTGTTTTGCAGTTTATTTGTTGTAAAATCTGAATTTTAATATAAATTAAAACTCATTTCGCAAGATAGATTTCTAAATGAATATATTGACAAGTAGTTTACATCATGATCGATCACTTGAACTTAATTACCTTTATTCATTAATTGCTCGAAGCGAACCTCAATTTAGTTCTCGATCGGAAGTTTCATCATGTATCGTCTTATCAACATGTTTTCATTGGCTTTGTCTGTTTTATTGTGAACGTCTCTCTCAAATGAAAAAACTAGAATTCGCAAACAATTGAAATAAGACCATTAGTTGTAAAAGTCTTATTTATTGATCACTAAAACTCGAGGATATTAAATGTAAATCCGACAAAAATTAGAAGTGATGTCCGCAGCTTTATTAGTAAGAATTACAATGAAAATGTTTGCCTCAAGGTTATTATATTCTTATATTTTTATATCAACTTTATGTTGAGCAGTAGGTTTTTTTCATCATTTTTATATAACTTGTTAATTTCATTTGTTTTATCTTTTCCACAGTTCATACTGAACGTACATTTTTTTTGTTGACGCGGTATGTCACGTCTGTTGATGTTGATTGGGCTTTTTCGTATATTTTCGGTATGCCAATCTTATAGAAATAAATAAAAGTATTGGTGAGGAGTCTCGAACCAAAGACCACTCATGCATCTTTTTTGTTTCACTTGCTAATGGCCTTTAAAGAGGTTTATATGATCGTATATTAATGGTTATTCTTAATTTTACTCACATTATACGAATCACCATATTCTACCTAGTGTCACGGACGCAAGTTCGACATTACTCCTTGTCCGTGCGGCGTACCGAGGTCCCCCATAAAACCCTGATACCAGCCAGCCCATGTTACACACGCCAACTGGTTTCGCCCTGCCATGGGCTCATCGGGGAAGCGGCACTAGCCCCCGACCAGTTGTATCTCTAGAACGCTACGGCCCCCTTCATTGTCACGCACTTCAGCTACTCGGCCAGACAGCAACGACAAGCATAACAACGTACCTTGGACTAGGACGCCCCCTTTTGAACCCAATAGCAAGCTATTCTGGTGGCATGGTCTTTGTCTTCTTGGTCAACACGGTCACGAGATATCAGCCCGTGACACTCTCCCACCGCAAAATTGTCGCACGTCCTCGTGCGATGGAAGAGGAACTTTTGTCCTTTCGAAATGGCCTTTCTTCTGATACCAAGTTTGATCGCATACCGCTACACTGGATCCCAAACTTTATACTTCAAAGTCGGAATCCTCGGCATGTGGCCACCCCCATTACTTCCTTCAAGGAGGTAGAGCATTCATCGGTGTATTGCTCTTGACTTCGCAGCAACCCACCAGCATGTCCATACTTCTATGGACCCCACGAATATGCACGATCATACTGGCATGTCCCTTCATCATTTGGCTCTAATACCACTTGTCACGGATACAAATTCGGCATTACTCCTTGCCCATGCGGCATACCGAGGTCAACCATAAAACCCCGATACCAGCCATCCCATGTTACACACGCCAACTGGTTTCGCCCTGCCATGGGCTCATCGGGGAAGCGGCACTAGCCCCCGACCAGTTGTATCTCTAGAACGCTACGGCCCCCTTTATTGTCACGCACTTCAGCGACTCGGCCAGACAACAACGACTAGCATAACAACGTCCCTTGGACTAGGACGCCCCCTTTTGAACCCAATGGCAAGCTATTCCAGAGGCATGGTCTTTGTCTTCTTGGTCAACACGGTCACGAGATATCAGCCCGTGACACTAGTCTCAATATCAATGTTTTTATATACATTGTTATTTCAATAAACAACTTATAAAATTGTAGTAAAAGATTGAATCTCATGTGTCTATGTACAAAAGATATAAAATAAACATAAGTATAAAGATTGTATTGGATGTAGACATGTGTCTTACCCTAAGTAATGTTAACTAGAGGGATTCTCGTATAGAGATGGCAAAAAAAACCCGTACCATGGGTACCCGAAACCCTAACTCGAGTTGACCGAGTAAATCCTCAAGTTGACCGGGGACGACTACGGGGATGAGTATTACCTGAATGCAAAAAATGGGGATGGGGATGGGGATGCTACTACCTATCGAGTACCCAGATCTGTACACGAAACCGGCCCCGATAGGTACTATATATATATATATATATATATATATATATATATATATATATATATATATATATATATATATAGAGAGAGAGAGAGAGAGAGAGAGAGAGGGAGAGAGAGAGAGAGAGAGTGGTTCAAATGAGAACCCAAAAAGGTTAAGAACCCACATTTTATTAGTAAACATGTATTGTGAGTAATATTAAATATGTTAAAGTCCCGATTTTTGTCCTTTTTGTAAGAAAATAGCAAAATCGTAATTTTTATAGTCTAATATATTTTTTCATACATTCATTTATATTTTAACAAAAAAAAATATATGAAATACAACTTTATATAGTCAATTTACAGTTTAATACGTAAAATTCACAACTTAATATAATTCATTTTACATAAATTTACAAATTTAAAGAAGTCAAATCCAAACTCTACCACTACCACCACCACCACCACACGCCGCCACCAACCTGTGCTAGCTTAACGACCATCTTTCTTTCCAAAACAGATATATACATAAAGTCATACATTAATAGCTTAAATACTACATTCACAATTTAATAAACATATTAATTAACTCATTTTTAATTTAATGCAAAACAATTATAAAAACTAATGCATTCTTACATACTTATACACATAAAAAATAAATATATATTCATAAGAAACTAATACAAAAAATCATACAACAATCATTCATATTTTAACATAAAATTTAGAGAAAATTCACAACAAATATAGTCAATTCACAACTTAATAGAGTGAATTATCATTTAATACATAAAATTCACAGCTTAATCTAATAATTAATAATTTAATACACGTAATTCGATATTTTTAACTTAAAACTTACATTTATACTTTTAGATTTAGAGGCTAGTGTTTATTTCAAAGTTTAATTTACATAATAGTCATAGTTTAAATTTTATATAATTTATTTAAAATTATAGAAAATCATATATGTATATAATGCTTCTTTCTTCTCAAACAAGCAAACACAATATTCATAAAATATTCACAGGTTAATATAATCAATTCATTTTTTAATACACAAAATTCACAGCTTAATACAATAAATTCACAGTTTAATACATAAAAATTATATATTCACAACCATATTCTCAACTAAAACTTACATTAATACGTTCATATCTAGAGACATTTATGTGTTTTAAATTGTGAATTTCTTATATTAAGTTGTAAATAAAATTCATAGCTTAATACAGAAAATTCACAGTTTAATACAATACATTCAAAAATCATTTACAAGTATAATATCATACTTCAGTGTACTAAACAGCCCATTCACGGTTTAATATATGCATAAGTTATCTTATATTTCAGAAGCCAACATCAAAAGAAAAACATATACATGAATCATAAAAGGGGATAACTTATATGAAATCAACGAAGAAAATGAGTGAGAAATAGAAATATCTTTACTCTACCACCACAGTAGCATTAATACCGCCAACTTCCATACGTCACCATCAACCATCGCCACCACCAACCACCAGTAGAAACAACACCAACATCCTTCTTTCAAAAATCAGATCAGGATAAAAAAAATCAGAATTCATAATTTAATACAACATTTCAAACACTAAATCATAACTTAATTTAATATTTCAGACATTAATTCACAACTTTGTGTGCACCACACACATCAGATCCATAATCACCATAAAACATCAAATCTGATCAGATATATAAGACGATGTTATATTAACATTTTATACATTCATTCATAGCCTAATTTACCATATTCACTGTTTAAACTCTAAAAAAAACTTCACTGTAGCATTCAAAGCTAAATTCATAACTTAATAATTTACCTAATTCCATTGAGGCATTTCATCAAGCACCTTGTGTGCATCTTTTTTTTTTTTGCAGAACTTTCTTATGTAAACACCATCACCGGTGACCAGATCTGATGCGGTGGTGGAACTGCCGCCTACCATCATGAAATACCACACACAAACACCATATCTAACCTGAAAATACACAAACACATCAGATCTGATGACGATCAGGTGGTGTTTGACTAGAAATAAAAGAAAAACATATAAATATGAGTTAGAGAGAAAGGGAAGGTGGTCACGAAACAGATCTGGTAAGGATGTGTAACGATCCAATTTTCAAAAGAAATTTTTCATTTTTAATTAGCCAAAACACTTTCCATAAACCATAAAATCACAAATACAATTGTTTTCAAATTCATAACAATAGCAATATTATTTCAAATCATCAGAGTGTCCCATAAAACGCCTGAGAGAGAGTGCATGACGCGTCATCAAGCTTTGCCCTTGCCCTTAGGCTCAGATGTACCTGAAACAAATCCACAAAATGTAAGCTAATGCTTAGTGAGTTCCCAGAGCATACCCCATACAATCCACATAAACACAAAAGCATACTAGTTATAAAAGCTACATATACCACAACAGCCATGTATACAAACATATAAGGATGCGATGGGCTCCCCCACATGGTCTTATACTGACGTGTCATGGGCTCCCCCCATTATCTTTAGCTGACAAGCCATGGGCTCCCCCACATGGTCTTTCATCCAATTGTCATGGGCTCCCCCCATAGTCTTTAACTGACAAGCCATGGGCTTCCCCACATGGTCTTATATCCAAGTGTCATGGGCTCCCCCCATGGTCTTCCCTGCAAGTATCATATAAATACTAGCATAGCATACCACTTAGCATATAGCTAACTATCATAACACATATCTCTACATCAACT